GCTGGGACTTCTGATTTAAAATGCCCAGGCTGATGCTTGCTGTAGTTTGACGTGCAGCTACCAACCTCTGGAGGTCCGATATATGTTAATCAAGCAGGGGCACGGAACCAAATCTACCCTCCGGAGCCAAGGGGTAGTTATTTGGAAGATCTCTGCAAGGAATGACCTGGTGGCAGATCTGACTTGACAGCTAAAGCTAAAAACTCTGTGCTGGCTCAACGCTCGCATAACACGCATGGAGAAGTCAGTGCAGGCTTTTTGCTTATCAGCCCAACGCTGCGCCCTCCTGTTGCAAGCAGCTAGTGACCACATTCGCTGGAGGAGTAAGGCAAGTGCATGCAGAAGCAGCTCCCGCGCACCACATCTGTGCCATTCAGCTTTCCTGACTTCAGTTAAAAGCTTCAGTCTCTCACCACCCTTCCCATCAAGCGGCCTTTCCAGGCAAGATCAGACTAGCAAGCTCTGCTCAGGGGCGATTGCCAAACTAAGTTACCTAAGCGTGAGCTACCCGCTAACTCAGCAAACCCTTCTGCTGAAATGCCCCTGTTGAATGAGCCTTACCCCAGCGGTGCCAAGGAACGGTCGTCCTCCTCCTCTGGTGTGTTTGTTTTCTCCCTGCTGTCCGAAACTTCACGTCATCTCTCCCCCCATCCCGCCCCTCTCTGGCTTGTGCCTCTCTCCGCACTCGGTTCCTCCGCTCTCACTGACAGCCAGCTGCTGTCTGTGCTGGAGCACTTTTTGTTATTGGTCGTCCTGGAGATGTGAAGTTTCATATTACATATGTGCCGGAAAGGAGGCGGGGAGAGAGACTCCAGGCAGAGCTTCGAGGGGGCCGAACTCCGGAGAGCTCAATGTGCCGACACTTGTTGCACATTTCCTGCACGGTGCGTCCTCCGACTGCCATAGCCTCTTCCTTTTTATTCTAATATAATCCCAGTTTTCCCAGAGCAGGGCTTGAACAAGCTTTTTCCTTGCAGTAGTTCTGTTGTATGCTAAAGCCATTAGCCTTTTTTTCTTCTTCTTCACCTTCCCCAGTTTCTGATTTGGTTCCCAGGGGAGAAGGAGCTTTTCTTTCTCTGGTCCGTGATTGTTGGAGATTTGAGCAGGAGAGGAAGGCTGATCCTTGTGGCCTGTTTGGTTCTGCCGCTGACTTGCTGTGTGACTTGGTCAAGTCATTCAACTCCTGGATGCCTCAGTTTCCCCATCAGCATAAGAACTGCCGCTTACTAGGTCCACCTTGCCCGGTATCCTGGGTCACGCAGTGGCAGAGAGCGGATGCTGAAAGGGAGGGTGAAGCTAGCAGTACTTCAGGGGAGCACTGAGGCTCCCTTGTCCTGGTCAAATGTTGACTGAGCCCTTCAGCTGGAAGGCCGCATTTCTTTGTATTATGCATCAGGAGCATAGGACCAGAATGGGCTTCGTGGACCTTTGAGCCCAGTCCCCTGTGCTTGCACGCAACTTTTAACCCAAGGATACCTTTTAATAGCCACTTCCACTCCTCCCAGACAAGAATAGGGCACAACACCCAGCCTATCGCCGGCACTGTAGATAAAATCAGGAGAGGTGAGGGTTTGTTACTGCAACAACAGGGAACCTGTGGGTTCATGTATACTCAGGGGATCCATGGCAAAGGGACCATGCCCCAGGCTGCAGAGGAAGCCAAACATTTCCCCCCTTCTCAGTCTGACCTACAAGATAAAACTCTTTTTGGCTTTGAAAATTGGTATGTCCTGAGCAGAAAGAGCAAGACCCTCTAGTCAGGAACTGCTGGGTTTTCTAAATATCAGGAGGTGCAGCAGTGCAGCCCAGTCCAAAAACCCCCCCAAACCCACAGCCTTAAGCTGTGACCAGCATCCCAGTTCTTCAGAGGAAGGGGATGTCCCTTTTGCACAGAAGTCAATAGCATTCACGAAGGAATAAAAATCCTTCCTGGCCCCAAATGGTGATCAGCAAAAGCCCTGAAGCATGGGGTTACCAAACCACAACAGCTATCTTCTTATCCAGACCCGAAGAGCGCAAACACCCAACTCCAGCTCACACTGACTGATTGCCCTGTTTTACCATCCCTTCCATAAACTTGTTCAGTTCTGTCTTAAAGTACTTCATAGTCCTTGTCCCCACCCCTTGGCATGGAAGAGTACTCCAGATCTTCACTCCTTTGGTAATTAGAAATCTTCTAATTTCCAATCAAAATTGATTTGTAGCCAGTTTGTAACCATTTGATCTTGTGCCGACAGGGTGGTTTTTTTCAGCATAATAAAAGCTTCTGTCTGATATGCTCCATGAACGGGCTTGCAGAGAGTAATTGGATCTCCTCTCCATCTCCATTTTGCTACATTAAATACACCAATCTCCTTTTAATTTCACTGCGGAAGAAGAGGTTTCCATTCCATTCTTTGAACTTGTTTAAGTTGATCTTTTCTGAACACTGTCACCATCATCTTGCTACTGGAGGAAGCGTATAAAATGCCCTTTGTGTAGGAAATGGCATCTAGCTATATAATTTTTCCTATGTGACCTTTCTATGAACAGACTGTCTTGATGGCATTCTCCATTTAGAGGCAATAGCTGCAAGTCCTAGCTCAACAGATCATGGGAGACTGTCTGCTGTGCTGTACATACTGCCTTGAGAGCCCATCTGGTTTTTAGAGGAAGACCTGTGCTCCCTTGGTAGATCGTTTGCCCCAAGTTGGTGAGTAGTGGAAACTTCTCTGGCAGCAGATAAAAGCAGATAGCATAAAGAAGTTGGGGCACTAAACAGCTGTAAGCATCCACTCTCCTTCTGGTCTGCAGTGATAAGTTTTCAGCAGGGTGATTTGCAACGGAAACCCCGTCAGTATTTGCTTGTCATCCTGGCCCTTAATACAAGGGGAGGCAATTTAATATAATGAAAAATGACTGCACCTAAAAAAAACTAAAGGCATCTAGACGGCCTGTGGGATTCTTTCCAGGGGGAGATGAAGACTATCTGGATAGCTCTGGGACATCTAACAGTGCAAGCTGAGATGATGGGCATAAATTGTCATCATGTAGGCCTGTAGAGGGCTTTCCCACCATGGATAATGCATGACAAGTGAGATACCTTCCTTCACCTGAAGCAGTATGTTACTAGCAACTATGAGAGATTGTAGTGAAGCTTGAACACTTAGGTTTATATCTGCAACAGGCAGATGAGGGATTGCAAACGTCCATTGAACGCTGGTGACTTCAAAGGCCCTCCGGATATAGTTGCATCATTCCTGTGAGAAATCCTGCACCTTGGCTCTGCGGATTAAATCTATGTGAAACATCTTTCCTCCTTTGTCGGTTGCACAAGCACTGAGGGGAGAGAAGGACGGTGGTCATCTGCTGTGTGTGTCACAACCGACTCCAAGCTGAGCAGGAGGGGGGGTGTCAGACTAATGAGAAAATAATGCCTCCCCTTGACTTTTAGGGAACAAAGGACTAAGTCGCAGCCGCCCTGTGACATTTCTGTAGCCATGTGGCCCTGGCTGGGCAGCCAGCTTCAGCAGTTCCTTTGGAAAGGCAGGGAGAGAAAATCAAATGCATCTTCCCCCCGCTGCCAGTTGTGAAAGGAACCCTTTCTTTGACTACAAGACCCAAAATGAATCAGTGCTGCTGTGCAGAGGGATATAAAGCCATCTTTGTAGTAGCCCTTCTATATCTTCCAGTAACCTGGACCGTACCGCACAACTGCTTCACTGTTCAGCCTGCTTTACCTGTGTAGTGCTGGCCGCCTCCTGACACACTTGCTCCGTTACTGGGGCACTGTGCTTGCCAGCAGCCTGCTGCTTTTTCTTATTCACCAGCTCCTGAGGTTTTCTTATGTTTGATAAATTAACCCCCCGGGCTGTGCTTGTTTGTGAACAGCCAGCCATTGTGCGGACCCTTTTTGAAATGCCTCGATCCACTTGCTACTCTTTAAATTCCTCTAGAGAAAGTAATCCCGTCTTGCTCCATGCACCTGTTTTTTATAGCAGCTGCATTTTTGTCCCCATTCAGGTCACTGGCATGTCCTGACTTGCCCCAGAGAGAGAGTTTCTTATGGAGCAAATTTTTCCTTGGATCTAGTTCTTCTGCAACCATTCAGCAGATCAAGCTGCTCTACCAACCCCAAGCACTTCTGGTAGAGGAGAAAATGCCCCATCTCTTGTAATTCAATAATTACCATCTCAAATCATTTGTGTAAGGCTTGCTGAAGGTTGCTTTGCTTTGCAGGTGCCCCATGCAGCAAGTTTGCTGCAGCTGTGTACCAGACAGCAGAATTGTACTGTATGTTGTCAGCTGTTTCGAGAGACTGCAGCTAGAAGGTGGAATTAGACACCAGCTGAAAATTCAAAGCACTCAGTTTGACAGTCATCTTGCCCTGTTTTTGACCAGTGGCTACCACTGTAGGGGCTTAAATGGGACAAGATAGGGTCCTAAAAAGCTTTATAAGGGGGGGTTTCAAGTAAAATCCCCATCAAAGTTTCCAACTGAAGCACAAGGAAAGAAATGGTCCCTCTTTAAAAAATATTTGCTTTCCACCTTTTCATCTCTTTTTGTAGCCAAAGGAGCTCTGATTGAAACTCGTTAAATGTCTAGCCCTCACTGAAGGGCTTTCTTTTGACAAGTGGTTAGGACTATTTGAAAATGGCGTCTCAAGAAAACTTCGCCAGCTGCATATTTCAGCACTGCTGTCTGTATATTCGCAATTAGCCAAATGTGTGCTGTTGGCGTCAAAGGATTCATAGATTAAGGGTCGGAAGGGACCTAGTAGATCTTCTAGCCTGACCCCCTGCCAGGGCGAGGCCCACCTGGTACAACTTGAAAGACCTCTCAGTGACTCTCAGATGAGGTCAGAGCACAAAGCTTACAGGACCATGGTAGGGGAACTGTCAAAACATCTGAACTTGTGTGCACGGTTTCTCTGAGTAGTCAAATGCAAAATCACCAGTAAGGCATCTTTGTTTCACTGCTAAGAGCACAACAGTTCAGGAGACGTGGAGATGAAGGTTCCTTTTAGACCAGCGGTTCCCAGTGCAGTGCCCGTGGGCACCGTGACACCCCCAGTGGTTTATTCAGGTGCCCGCATGCATTTTCACAATCAATAAAAATCATTATTCCAACAAATAATTTTTACTTAAATATTTTTGTAAGAAAAGGGAAGCTGCATTTTGAAGTTGCAGATCTAATGCAGTTTTAAGTAATGGATGAGATGATTGGATTGATCTCAGTTCTAAATGTTAATATTCATATGGGCGCCCGCCGCATTTTCTTTTAAATTCACATGTGCCCTTGGACATGCACACGTTGGGAACCGCTGTTTTAGACAAACTAAATCAGCAATTCATGAGAGACGTCTGTTCTAGCAGCCATACTGCCCCAGCAGCCTGCTGTCCCCTTCCTATTCAAACTGTGGAGCACCAGTGTCAGAAAACGGCGCAGGCAGAAGTACAGATTTTCAAGGTGGCTGAGCTAGTGCTGTTGGAAATTCAGCTTTTGCATTTCCCAACTCCTGCAGACTTTGTTATGGAGTCAAAGAGCCAGAACATCCTTGTAGCGCTGTTGAGCCGGGCTCTGGTAAACTCTTTAGAAGAGATGAAGCAACCACTTTGAATGCTGTCCTCTGGGTGAATGCAAATATGCCTGGTCTACTTTGAACTGTATTGTGATGTATATTAAAACAGTAGTATAGGATCACACAGGAAAGTAAGGCTGGAAGGGACTTTGCAAGGTCATCTAGTTCAGCCCCCTTCCTCAAGACAGCAT